AGTACACTGAAATAATGAGCTAGCTAAACGTCTTCTGATAAGATGAAAATCTATAAATGTCGCTGAACCAACAGCCAACCATACTCGGCGGTTCTTTTGATAGTGTGAACGCAAACTCGTAGATCGTGTAACTTCAGCTGTGCTGACAAATTTTTAGTGTAGTGTGGTTAAAAGCGTTATCAGTTCAAACAAAACTACATTTTTTAATTACGATTTTGCCGCAGTGTGTGAAAAAGAAGTGTTAAAATCAAAAACCCTACTATATTGAAATATCAATAAACTTTACCGAAAGCGGCGATGTACTCTCGAAAGTAACTGATATGTAAAGTAAAACGTTAACCGAAAGTGAAGTAGTACACTGCAAATACGTCAACAGCGTTTACCTTGCTTGGAGTTGTATTTAATGGGATTTATTATATTTCAAGGATTACGGTGTAATAACAAGACATTTTCAAGGACTATGGTATAAGAAACAAGACGTTATGAGATGAAATCTCAAAGTGTTTTCCTYWTCATTTCGTGGCTTCAYCTGCAYCACGGCATCATCGACTCACTCCARGAYGGAAACCATGACTACAGGTCTCCGTCCTCTGTTAAAGCTTTGAAGGTTCCTSCCGCTACAGGAGAAGAGCTTGCTGTCAGGATAAAGGGAGACTTGACGATCGGTGGGCTGTTTTCTGTGCATGCACAGGGMGATGAGTGGCAGTGTGGAAGWCTAAARGAGGAGGTTGGGATTCATCGACTCGAAGCCATGTTGTATGCCCTGGATATGGTAAAGATTTACATCAATCGATTAATTTGTTCGTTTGATTGATTGATTGTCTGATTGATTGATTGATTGATCATGACTGATTGATTGCTTGAATGAATCATTAATTGAATGTTTGATTGATTAATTGATTGACTGATTGATTGATTGATTGATTGATTGATTGATTGATTGATTGATTGATTGATTGAATGTATGATTGATTCAGATTGATTGATTGATTGACTCACAGATTGCTTCCTTTCCTTCCTTGCTTGCTTGACTGACTGATTGATTAATTGATTAGTTGATAAGTAGATAATTAATTTGTTTTGATAAAACCCTGCGTATCTGTCTAACCAGCCAGTCAATCAATCATTAATCATTCACTAATTAATGAATCATTGATCATTCTCTCCATCCATTCATCAGATAAACACGAATGATGACATTCTACCCAACATCACTCTTGGTGTCGATATTCGAGACGACTGTGAGACTGTTAACATTGGTCTTGAACAGTGTCTTAATTTTCTTCTTGGATCTTTACACAGCAAGAACCCGGTATGCAGTAAGAGTGACTTTAATTCCKAGTCTACACTAGTTGGTGTTGTGGGGCCTGCATACAGCTCAATGGCGATACAGGTATACGCTWTCGTTTATCTTCTGTATGCTGCAGATCTCATTTTGTCTTAAAAGTTTGTTGTTTCACTATGTTCTGAACTCTTCGACAACGCAGGGGCGGATTCAGYGGATGGGAAAGGGAGAATTCTCCTCTCTTTTTCTTACTTAAAGTCCGATGCTCTAGATTTCTTATTGTATTGTCAAACGAATTTTCCTCTTAATTCTAATTTATTCAAAAAACTGAGATAATGAAAATATTCAAAATAAAACTGTACATGATTTTATTGAGTTTTTGGTTTTTGACACACTCGTCACAATATATTGAGAATCTCGAATCTGAAAATTTCATGCTCGGAAAAATATTATTAGTGTTTTTAAAATATATTTGGATCAGGAAATCTTCCCCCCCCCCTCCCCCCAGGAAAAATTTATGGATCCGTCCCTGCAAGAATCTTAATTTTATTGCCCGAAACATCGTCGAAGAAAAAGGTCAAAAATGCAGCTAAGGTACTCGTAGGATAGTTACCTATTCCTTTCATTTCTTTAAAGGTCGCAAGTCTTTTGAGATTGTTTCGTGTGCCCCAAGTCAGTTACTCAGCAACAAGTTCCGAACTGAGCGAGAAAAACCGGTTTGACTACTTTTTACGCACTGTCCCACCAGACTCGTTKCAGGCTCAAGCAATCGTTGACATCATTAAAACRATGAACTGGTCAGCAGTGTTCACCATAAACTCACGTGGCTCTTACGGTGAAGGTGGCATCCGAAGTTTCTCCGAATATGTCACGAAYTTTAATATATGCACAGTRRATAAWTATCAGCTGCAATCTAAAATGACTGCGGATAACTTTGATGATATTTTTAGAAATTACTTCATTAAGAAGCCCAGTGTTCGTGTTGTTGTGTTATTTTGTAATAGTGAAGATGTTCGGGAGATTCTTAAGGCAGCAAAGCGACAAAATCTTACTAAACATTACACGTGGCTGGCGTCAGACTTTTGGGGCTCGAAGAATAAACATCTGGTCGATCTTGAGGATGTTGCTGACGGCGCTATAACCATTGAGCTGGAGAGTCATCCCAATCGCCTTGAACCATTTTATAACCATTTCTTTGGACTGACACCTTCTAATAATACCAGGAATCCTTGGTTTAAAGAGTACTGGCAGAACCATTTCCATTGTCACCTTGGTAACACTTCCGGGTCCAGCTTTCCCAGTCGTTGTCTTGGGAATGAATCTTATGAATCCCAGAAGAGTTATGACTCCAAGGTTAGTAATCTGGACGGTTAAGTAAAGGTCTGGAATGAGAATGAAAAAAACTTTTTTTTCTGCTTTATTGTCACATGCAAGGGGTGTTTTTTTAGGTTACGTCACAGCGGCCATCTTGGAGGTAGTTCAACAAAGGGTTTCCCATTACTATCTGTTGTTCATGGACGACGTTAAGATTCTTTTTTTGTTTGAATCTCATAGGAATAATAGACCTCTGCAGCTTTTACGTCATGTACCGTATACGCAGTGCATTGTAGGATATGTTTGGGACAAAACATGGCGGATTTCTTTTGTTTTCTCTTGAAACTGATCCCACAATGTATTGAAAATCAAGTAGTGACGTAAAAGGTTCAGAAGTCTATTGAAAACCAACAATTAAAGGGCAGTTTATTTGTGACACAGCACAGGAAACCCAAAGCGATCAAATTCCTCTCATTAATCTAGTCTTTACTTTCTTAGGTGTCTTTTGTAATTGACGCGGTTTGGGCATTTGGATACGCKTTGGATAATCTYCGCCAAGCCTCTTGCGGRGGGAAGCCTGGTCTTTGTGATGCCATGAAAACAAAGGCGAGGTCTTCATTGCTGTCGTATTTGTATAATGTAACCTTCAACGGAACWAATGGAACCATTAAATTCAARCGCAATGGCGATATGGAAGGAAAGTACGATGTACTACAGTTTAAAAAATCCAAAAATTCCTGGGTTTACAAACGAGTAGGAAAATGGGTTCAYGGCAAACTGTACCTTAATCAGGAACTCCTTGAAKAAACTCCCGTTCAATCTCAATGTGGGAAGCTTTGTAAAAAWGGCGCCGTACGACGCATACTCGAAGTCAAATGCTGCTGGTCATGCGTACCTTGTGACAAAAACCAGTACGTAAAAGACAAAGACACTTGTGCCCAGTGTCCTCMCGGTCAGAYACCGAACAATACATTTGACGGATGCAAGGATTTGCCCCTGAGATATATAGAACCTATGTGGGTCATCACCATAGCAGCGTGTGCAGGAGTTGGRCTCCTAGCAACGATTTTTGTGATATCTGTGTTTGTGAAGTTTACCACGACACCRTTYATCATGGCAGCAGGGAGAGAAATGTCTGCTATTCTCTTTCTAGGGATAATACTKTGTTATGTTCTTGCATTGGTTAGGATCATTCAGCCAACAGCTCTTTTATGCGGAYTTCGTCGSTTTGGTACTGGCTTCGCGTTCTGTSTCTGCTACTCCTCCCTACTCGTGAGGACCAATAGAATCGCACGAATTTTCAGTGGAACCAAGTCCCCKTCMTTCATTAGTCCCAAGTCTCAAATAATGATAACAGTCATAATACTGTTCCCTCAAGTTGGTATTGCATTAGCGGAACTATTCGTCTTCACCCCAAAGATTAAACTATTGTATAATTCGCGTGCTGATCACGTGCTGATCACGTGCGACGCGGACACTACAAGCGTGATTYTKCAGCTTTGTTACAACGTACTGTTAATTCTCCTATGTACGTATTACGCCTTRTACACTCGCAAGACACCGTTAAACTTCAACGAAGCAAAGTTCATTGGTTTTTGCATGTACACTACGTGTGTCATTTGGGTCGCTTTCCTCCCGATGTATTATGGYATGGGTGGGGGTTACGAGGCGTTAGCAGTTTGCTGTAGTCTGATACTSAGTGCGACTACGATTCTTATTTTTATATTTCTACCGAAAGTTTATATTGTGATKTTCAAACCTGAGAAGAACTTGCGGAGTAATTCAAGACTGAGATCGAGGACAAAATCACTGGAGGACTCGCCCATTGACAGGAATTATTCAGAAAATGGCGGTAAGTGCAACTAAAATTACGGGTAAAAAGAGTTCATGATATAGAAATAAAAGAAAGTTATAGTGTTAGGAAGGAGGTTTATTCCGAGAGAAAGAACCTTGGAAATAAATTCGGAAAAAAATAAAATAGATTTCAAACCTCGCTGGGATTCGAACCCACGACCCTCGGATATTTTTTCCGAATTTGTTTCCAAAGGTCTTTCTCCCCGAATAACCTCCTTCCCAGCACTATAACTTTCCTTTTCGATATCATGTATCTCATAGTGCCATGCGGTCCTTACTATTCGTTCAGCATTTTCTTTATTATTATTGCCTTTTGTCATGTTCTCCACCAACTGATTGACTGCTGTCATGACAACATCGCACTTCATGTGTGATCATATCATCGTATTGCCAACCATCGCTATTTGTATCATGATAAGTCACTTGCCAACCTATCTGCTTCTATTTTAGACGTTGTTAACTCTAGCGTGTTCTCCCACCCATCATCTCACCATAGAGAAAGAATGAATTCGCACGCATTTATGTTATCGGCGCGCGCTCTTATCGAAATGCGGATTACCTGTGGTATTACGTCATGAACCCTTGCCTCGCGGGATCAAAAACTAGTCGGTCACATTCGTTCTTTTTCTTTCTCTCAAGCAATAGTTGGGCGGCCTATGATCTCACCCGTATCCTCCTCCGTCTTTCTATCAAGCAATAGTTGGGCGGCCTGTGATCTCACCTGTATCCTCCTCCGTCTTTCTGTCAAAACACTGTCAGCACAAAACACTATTCCTGTTGTCAGCATTATTGCATAATTGGACGTCGGGCTCAAAATCCCGTCTGATAAAACTCTTCAGCCAGCTAATGCTTACTTTATTGTTCTTAGGATACTCGACAAGGGACGAATTTGTTGTAAATCACTCACCTTCAGTTATATCGAATAGATCAGCAACAAGCAATAACAATGGACAGGTGAACCTGAAAACACTGCGATTTACACCGTTATGACGGCATATACAATTCATTAATGACATCATAAATCATTAATGACGTCGAACATTAATCACTCGAGTGTTGTCTGTATGAATGATTTGTGACGTCAAAGAGAGATCATAGGTGTCGTCATGAATCATTAATGACGTCATAAATCATCAGTGTCGTCATAAATCATTATGACATCATAAACATGAATGTCGTCACAAATCATTATGACTGCATAAATCATCCGTGTAGTCATAAATCATTTATGACGTTATAAAGCATCGGTGTCGTCATTATTCATTTATGACATCATAAACCATTGGTGTCGTCATTAATCATTTATGACATCATAAACTATCGGTGTCGTCATTAATCATTTATGACATCATAAACTATCGGTGTCGTCATAAATCATTTATGACGCGTCATAAATAAAATGATAAATTAATTACTGAACAGTTATGGCTACGTTTACACGAATTTGGATATTTTTGAAACTTTGCATGAATTTCTGAGGGCTGTCGTCTTTACGAAACACGAAAAACAGATATTTTTGAAATGAAAATGAGGATTATAGTGTTTTGGTCCAAAGACACATGTAGAATATGCCGTTTAAAAAATATCCGCTTACATACGTGTTAAACGCAGTCTTTAGTTGAAAACAACGTGTATAGTTTATAACACCATAATGTATTAATTATCGATTATAAATTGATCATTATTTAATAACGGTAAATTATTAATTAACTAGAAGTATTGGACTATTTTGCTTAATTTAGTGAATGGCGGTTCCAAGGATGCTAGCCTGAATATGACAACGAATATGACACTGGAAAAGATAGCGCACTTTAAAGGTTGTAAATTTGATGTAAATATGATGTAAGTGACCAAAATCATGTAAATTTGATGTAAATTTGAAGTAAATTTGATGCAAATGATTTACATCAAATTCACATCATTTTGGACACTTACATCATATTTACAGCAAATTTACAATCTTTAAAGTGKGCTATTTTTTCCAATGCAATGTTAATCGGTGTACTTTTCTCTTTTTGCACGGGTTCAACTTTTCAAGATGGAGAGAGAGAGAGAGATTTAAAAAGGAACCTGAGTATGTTAACTGAATATATTTTTGTATAAATCTGACAAGACATCGAATTGCAAAAGATATCTAGTAAAAAGCCAAAAAGCTTTTTTAAAAAAATAAAGGAATATAGCAATCAAACAAGTAAAGTAGGAACTAATAGATAAGGTGCAGCGATACCAGTTTGTACGTATGGTAGATCTTGCACTTTTTATAGCCACTAAAATATATGTGTTTTTATGTAAGAGTTAGTGAGATTTTGCTCAAATTCTTTTATCTGCTTTGAAAAAAAAGGAAAAATGTCGTGTAGCTAGACTGTTTTAGTGGACATGAAAAAGTGCAAGGACTACAACTCCCATTATGCCTTGTTCCAGAAAATAGCGTCGTAGTACACTGATCAATATATAAATTCTTTGAAGTTTATTTCGTTTGTCTTTTTCATGCTTGTATTTTGCATGCACTATATAACCATAGGGACAAATATTGCCTGGCATGGAACGTCCCCTTCATCTGGGGGACATAACTAAAGCCCTTTGCTGTCTTTGCTCTCTTTTGTATCCTTGACCTGCAGGGAATCTCTTTGCAACACGAAGGGCGTCTTTTATGGCTCCAATCCTTGAGTTGCTGTCATTATGTGAAAAACCCATAGCACTCATAGATACTGAGGTCAGATAATGTATTTTTCAGTTGATGACTAAATAAAACTAAGACTTTTAGAAAAGACGTAGAGTAGTCTCCTTCACGTTTTTCTTCACCATCTCAGTTGAACGTAACTTGGATAGGAAGATCTCTATCATTGCGACCTCACCTGTTGTAGACACTTCGATTAAAAGACACTCCGTTTAACTTTCAAGTTGGCGAAGAGAAAAAACAGCATGCACTATAAGTCTGTATGATAACAAGAATTTTTAAAAATACCGTAGCTCTTTTAAATCCTATTACAAAATCCTTTTGAAAAGTTTTAATAAATCTTTGAAATATGCTGTATTTTGTAATTTCGTGCAAATGTCCTATATTGCAGCGAAATACCTAAAACATTGAAACATTGAGAATTAAGGGATAATGGTAGTCACAAGGGTTTCAGTTCTGATCGGTAATATAATACCATCTTGGGAGATTTTTACTCACGTTACATAATGGGAAAATGTTTACCCACATTTCATTCTGGGAGTCTTTAAACTACGTTGCATGCTGGGAGATTTTAACCCACGTTGCATGCTGGGAGACTTTAACCCACGTTGCATGCTGGGAGATTTTAAACCAAGTTGCATGATGGGATATGCTTCCCCACATTGCATGCTGGGACATACATGTTTACCCACGTTGCATAGTGGGAGATTTTTCAAAGTTATTTGAATACTCGGTAATACTTGTATTTTCTCCAACTCTGATTTCTTTCTTAGTCGACGACTTCGTATTATTTTTCCCTTCTTTGTGTTTATCATTTATACCGTAAATCTCTTCAAAGTGCGACAGCAYTACAGGTGCRGGAAAACAAAAWAGTATCACAATACCAGACACGGCGCATAGAGCACCAGCCAGCCTTCCCACAATGCCTTTCGGCACCTGGTCCCCGTAGCCTACCGTTGTCATGGTGATCACCGACCACCAAAACGCATCCGGGATACTTTGAAAGTCAGATTCCTCCAAATTAACCTCGGCATGATACACCACACTTGAYAATAATATAATGTTGATCACCATGACGACGAACATAGAAGGGAGGTCCTGGGCACTAAGCACCAGGGTCCTYCCTAACATTTTTAGCCCTCGGCTGTACCGCGAGAGTTTTAATAGTCGAACAACTCGAAGAAGACGAATGATCCCCAAGACGGGAATCGCYCTGACGCTTCCCCGACTAATRACYGTCACATAGTAAGGTAGAATAGCTAAAACATCAACCAGTCCTATCGGTGATTTGGCGAATTTACACGCGTTGGGAGCGCTGAGCAAACGTATTACGTATTCACATGTAAACCAAGCCACATACACAGCCTCGATTGTATGCCATAGTTCATGRGTACGGCTTTGGTAGCAGTTATTTTCTGWATCGTCGATAGGRCGTATGCTTTTGTTTTGGTTTTGCGCGCATACGCTGACGGTAACATGACTGATTGACTCYACTGTTTCCAAGCAAAACGTTACAGTTGAAACAAGAATTATAAACACGGAGAACCTTGCAAGAAGCTCAGCCAAGACTGAGGAGTCTGGGTATTCTAGCAACAGCCAAATCGCCTTTTTGATGTTATTACGCGGTAGAACAATTTCCTCCTCSTCGTCAGTATCACTAACTAAATCGATTTCTTTTTTAATTCGTTCATCGACCTCCTGAAGTTGAAAAAAGCGAATTTCATCAATGAATGATTCCTTGGGTATGTCTTCTGGAAAAGCCAGGATTCCATGTGATTGATAAAAGAAGAGAATCGAATCAAAAAGGAACTTGTTMCGATCYAAGCAGTATTGYCCATTGATAGGATCAAAATACTGACGTCTCTTGCTGGGATTTCCTAAAAGAGTTTGTGGATATTGTGCTAGAGTTTCTTCGTACGTRTCGAAGATCATTCCTCGAACGTTGATCTTGACACGTGCACTACCGAGTCTTGAGACAGGGCGCTCGTATGAATCTCCCTCGTCGCCACGCCCGTACACCTCACCTCGGTCGAGGGATGGTTTCCCTGTCAGGCCTACAGTGACTGCTTGCATTGTACGAAGCATTAATTGAGTCCTTGGGTGGAGTAGAAGAATCTGCGGAAATATATAGTATAGTTGCGATAAATCGACCTTGGTCGAACGTCGTGCTTAACATTAGTACGACGCAATTAGACGCGACGTTTGACCAAAGTTTTGTAAACCGTTAAACCGAGAGACACAAGATGTCGCTGGAAAAAAACCGCGCGCTTTGAACTATGTAGACTTGCTGTGCATGAATACGGTAGTAACGATTGTGAACAATTAAAGCCCAGTATTTATGGAGTATATAGAAAATTACGATGCAATGACCGCGTATAAATATAATATAAAGGACTTGTGCGCTTACGGGATATTTACATGAAATTTTCAGGATTTTTATAGAAAACGTAAGTTTCAATCAACTTTCCTATAAATTATTAGTATATTATATTATTAGTATATTATATTATRAGTATAWTTTTATTAATATTATTATTATTACAGGTTTCACATCGCGCGGTTTTTCCAAGTTAAAATGTAAGCGTTAGTTTGATTCGCGATCGTTTTTGTAGTCTATGATTTACTTTGTTATCACAGGTTTTGATATTGGAAACACTGACGCATCAAGCACTAATGTAGCACTATAATTATCTCTGTTTTGATAAAATAATTGGGGTATTCCATTCCTAGATATAATGCGATAAATCAATATTATGTGTAAAATTTAACAAAAATATGATAATTATTATCCTCCGCTACAAACATCAGATTTAATTAAATAAAAAAATATATGAAAGAGTACAAAATAAATTCAAAAAGTTTACGAAYAGCAGTAAAAAAACAATAAACAGCCGGACTAGGGCTCGAACCCTTAACCATAAAATCGAAAAAAAGATTGGGACGATTCCCCCGAGACATTCTGTGAAGCTGAGGCGGCGAATCGAWTTACATTCCMGRTAGAGATTTCGGCTCTTCCATGCTATCCCGATAATTGGTCCTAACTTCGCGCTAACTAAAAAGCCAGTGAGGGAGAAGCTATCCGGCCCCTAGACWCTBATGGATAACCCCTTGCACTAACCAGGCAACTATCGAAAGTATAATGTCAAATTGGGGTAGTCTATTCGGCGAAAGTGCCAAGTGGTCTATTATTATGCAAATGAGCGTGGTCCTGTGGCGCGGGTTGTTAAAGCGCCGAGTTCCAATCCATGACCATCGAAGGGGCGCTGGATCGAATCACACGCGATCAAATAAGTGAATCCTATATAGACATTTTTTCTTTCCTTTTTTTACTTTTTTCTCGTCCTTTTCTTTTTTTTCTTCTCTATGTATTTGTTTGATTATGCCATTGTTTTATTTTCTCTTATATTTGCATTTACTTAATTAAAGTTTAGTCCTTGAGAATGGAGTCAGGATGACTCCGAAACGTCGGATATTTACGTTAATTTTTATTCTAAATGTATATTTTTTCCCTTTTTTTTCTCTTTTCAATTTTGATGGCTGCTTTRCATTTCCTATTTGTTGAGGATTTTACTTCCCATCATGCTCTATTTTAGAAAATGGCGTCGCAATCCCAGAAATCTATGCGATCGCACCATGCATGTTGCTAATAAAAAAACACTGTTTTGTGAATATGAATAAGATTGATTTTTAGGCACATGCAGGTGTTATCTCTTTAATATTTTGAAGCTGATACCATGTTGTCCTGTCACCTTCTAAGAGGTGTAAAATATTTAGCTAGCGTTTTACAATCTAATCGAAATTATTGGCTATTTCAATTGCCAAACCTCCAATACTTAATTGTGTAGAATTGCTGTTTTCATTTCAAAACACACCAAATAATTTTAAAATAGAAGATTTTATATTAGATTAATTAAAAACTAAACTTAAAGGTCTTTTTTTTATTGTAGTTGGACGAATATCCATTATCTGACTCAATGTACTTTGAATGCTTTTGATACCGACGCGTAAACTCAATTTCGCCGAAAATATGTATTGTTTTTTACAATAACTCGGGCGGGAAATAAATAATTATTCGATATTGAATGCAGGGGAGTTAAACTCGTGTAATTTGCGTTGGTAAAGTGGTTTTTGGTCTACTGTATTCTTGCGTAAATGCGCGCAGCTTGGTGCCGGAGTAGTATTTGAATATGAAAGCATTAGCGAGAAACTTGTTTATATTTTCTTTTTTTGTCATGATAAGAATAACTTTATTTGTGAAAGGTTATTTGAACATCGATCGTTAGATGTTTTAAACAAATATTTATAAAAAGTAACATTTAAACCAAACGGTTTTGTAGGAGATATTTTTGACTTGACATTAAAACTGATCTCGCATTTCAAAATGCCAAAAATGGGACGTAATAATGTACTATAACCCATTGAAAAAGACACTTACCCTTCAAACCATGCAGTTTTTGTTGTATTGAGCCCCAACAGGCTTTACTTTTAGTCTTTTCAAAGGAATACTTTCTTTGTGAGCTGAAGAAAAGACATAGAGTGACTAGAACGGAAGTAGCTTAGCGCTTTCAAAAATGAACGTAAGTGCATGTAAAACACATGTCAAAACAACTTCCGAATAGATTTACATCTAAATATACAGATAACTCATTTTGCGCCGTATTGTTGCTCCGTTTTTTCTTGAAAGTAATTTTCTATTAGATATATAAAGTATAAAAGAATTATGGGACTTAATCCTTCAATTGCTCGAGACCTCTTGCAGTTTCTCTAAGCGAATTTTAACCACGATGCCATAGCTATATCCAACCAAAAATACTTAAATAACATGTCAAATTAACTTAGAATTAACACGCTAGGAACCACAAACTTATTGTATTTTATACATCGAGTAAGCGGTAAAAAMAAAAGTAGAAAATCAATACTTACAGACTTTTTCGAGACTCTTAAACCATAAGTATTAAARGAAATAAAATATAGCTATAATATCTAAGATTCTACTTACAATTCAATTTAGACTACTAAAGATGTAGAAAGGTCGAATTCTGTTCGTTGAATTCATATACATGTATTTTGCCAAGAGTCGTTGAATATTGATCCTTTTAACACTGCATTTGATGTCCAATAGCACAGGTGAGAATTGTCTATAATCAAAGCCAAGTGATGTAACCCTGTGTAACTAAGCTACACAAAACGTAAATAACAAAATATCMTTCCTTGATCTCTTTTTTTCGCCRAAGTTTTTGAACATTGATGCTCTCGTATCTCTTGGACAATATAGTCCTTGCTAGAGGGCCTTTAGTGTAGAATTACACTACTTATACTGCCGACCAATAGCTTCAAGATCAGAAGTTATAAATTGTTTTTGTTTCGAGTAAGGAGACTGCGGTGTTTTTTCAATAGATGATCAATGAAATTTTGACAAACGGAATAAAAGAATAATAAATTATTGATTATTGTAGCGTTGCCTAGACCTAGGAGCATTTCCAGTACGTTTTTGTACGTAAAAGAAACGTATGCTTAAGCTTTCGCGTAAATGTTTCATCTTAAAGAGAAACATAACCGTTAATCCAGAGGGCCTTATCGTAAAAGTGTTAAAAACAACAGCAATTTCTTAATATAATTGTGATCACGATTTTCTCAATTCAATGTTTTCTTTGTCACGACGTAGATTTGACTGTACGTAATCGTTACGCAATGTACACTTATGGAATGATGATGCGTTAGGGCACATGAATACTGGCGTGATCGTGTCGTATGGTGATCGTGATGTTGCGGTACGCCGTTTAGGCGTTGGTCAGTTAGATGCATCATTCTCCAGCGTGAGTGTTGCCCGGTTGTCTACCTAGAACAAATTATTTTTGACTCTAAATTGAAAAAAACTGATGCTGCAATTACGTGAAATAGCACCTCACCAAAGAGAAGAGATCGACGCAACTGGGGTAGATTTCACTAAAATCCGTGAAATGAAACTGTAATAGGTGCAATTAAGAAAAAAGTGCAAAATAAGGCTGTACCTTAACAAACTGCAAAAAGCTTGCGCAAGCATGGATCATGGCGCAAGTAACACGCAAGTAACACGCAAGTAACACGCAAGTAACACGTAAGTAACGGACAGCCTAACTATTAAAATACGCGACTGGGAGACGACTGGAGAATGTAATGCTGAACGTTTAATGGGACTATAGTTAGGTGCAATTAAGTACTGCCCCGAGTAAAAAATAGGGAGCAAACGGCAAAGGAATGCAAGACGGTGCTAATTGTCGCATTGTATAATCCATCCATCCCATTGGTTAAAACATGAAAATCTGCTATAATTTCACAAGTTAGCGAATTTTCTAATATTTTATTTCMTGTTTGTTTTCGCTTTCATGAAAGCTTTCTTTAGCTTCAATATTAAGGCAATTCTACGTGGGGGAACATTGCAAATTAGAAGGATCTTTTGGCTATTGTTTTGAGTGKTTATGATTGGATAAGYGCTTTTAATACAAAAGAAACWTTGTTTCAAAATAGAGTTTATCCACATTTTATTTCAAAAATGTGTTACCCATAGGTTGATATATAATCAGTGTGAAAACCAAGACATTCGTACAAGGGGAACTTGCTATGCCGCAGAACAATAGAGAGTTCCCTAGTTCTTTAGCGCATTGTTACTTTCAAAACACGTTATACTGTAAGAGGCAAAATTTCCGCTATTAACGTACGTAATGTAAGAATCAGCTACAGTTAAACGTTATAATCGTCACTATGAGTTATATATAATGACAAAACGTAACCGGACTGCTAGATGACGAGACGATGTACTGGTATAGAACGTACAGCTACGTACGGACACACCACTAAAAAACGTAACGTAGCTACGTGGCAAATCACGTTTAACGTAAAAAACGACAAACGAGACCGCAAGAGTAGAAAATAATTCTTATTATATATATACTAGAAAACGTAACGAGGCATACGCTATATGAACGTACGCTCGTATAAAACGTCCGAGATGCCATGGCTAACGAGAAAACTAAACGTAAGACATTTTTTAAATCAATGTAAAAACCATTTTACTGATAAATACAACATCAAAAAGAACCGGAAATTTTAATCTCGCTTCCACAATCTTGCCTAACAGCTGAACGCTGAATTGTTGCTATCAATTTGATCATGTATTTTGACTAAACAGTCAGCCTTTTTAGCTCCTTGCCGAGACCAAAGATTCCGACTTATGCTTTTGTGCGTCCGCATCGTACGTTATTAACGTATAGCTACGCACGGGTCTTGATGCTTTAATCAGAGTGTATCAAGTTTATCGCAATAGCGGCTCTACGTGTCCTTTACGTGTCGATCTTACCCTCTAAGTTTGTCTTACGCGGTTAATATGTTCGTATAGTGGTTACTGCGACAGCYCAGACTCTACGTGATTCTCGTAATCTAAATGATCATCCCTATGCTCACCGAACGCAACGCTTTTTTATCCATTTATTTGCCAGCACATATGAAATTCGGCGTCGCTAATGCGGAAAACTATTCTACGGGTTTCATTACGTGCGGATTTGTCTTACGTTAGTAGTCACGGCTCCAGACGAATCATTTGAAAACCTTTCAAAAACTAACTGTAAACTGTTTCTTTAAAGAAGAGCAAAATCTGTAATAGTATTAGGGCGGAAAACGTCCATAACAGCTTAAAATCTCTTTTTTCACGATGTAATATTCAAAATATCCCATCTCATCGTTGTATTGAGCGGTTCGCTGTGTTCTGTCCAATTGTTTTGTTGTTATTTTTGGTGAGTCCATATTCCATCTTCAAGCAGTGCACTTGTTATTTGACAAGCATAATAGATATGGTAAACATTTTATCATAAATCTTGCTCCGGTAAATCACGAAGCGAGAAAACGTACTTACGAGGAAATTTTGGCTCAATAGAAACAAAATCGTAAACTTTTTAATCTTGAATGTGGATGATAAAAGGAAATATTATTCGCGCTTACTGAGTTTCTCTGCAACCTAGTTATCTAATCCCCTAGAACAATAGTGCCATTTTGTATTCTCCGCCTTAAATAAAAACATCCGACTGATTATCGAATCAGATAAATCCTATTTCGAGTTAAACAAACCTGATTTGAAGCAGGGATTATGAACATTTTATGCACCTGAACGAAYTGTTCATCCAAGAGTCCGTAGTAGCAGTTCCTTAGTCCTTAGGASCATGTATCCAGTARTYAGATTGCGGCAACAAACGCCTCACTTAAAATCTCGTAAACATAKAWCCAGACAGATTAATGTGTAYCCATGGYAAGGTTGAATCTGAGAGTGAAGTATATGTTTAATTAATATCTTTACATACAATAGAACTTCTTTCAAAATAATTGAACTTCGCGACCAAGAAACGGGCGGTGCATCGTTACTGGCTACTGCACATGTACAGGTGGTAGTCGAAWACAATTTGGCGCTGTAGCTTCGTCTGTTGGATACCGAACTTTTTCTGGATGTTAATAGAATTCTTAATAAAGACAACTAGAAGAGATTACAACCGGTTTTTTGAACTTATTAAAGATTTACGAGATATTTTAAGTGATTATGCCAGGTATGTATTCACTGACGCTTGCTAAAGTGTCAAGAAAACAATTCGATGTTGTCCCAAACCCTGAAAGAGAGTGATTTCTGCCCAATAAATATGCAATTTGAATTTCTTTAAGTTTTTMCAATGGGTATAACTTAAGGTTTAGTGAAAATAAGGCCGGTATCAAATCAAAATCCCATCCAATTTAGTTGAGCGACATTTCCATTGAGGCTTCACGAGGAAAGTCAGGGTATGGATGGGCAGGAAGAATAAGACTTTGCCTGTCTGACTGCCAATAGTGATTTTGAACGAAAAAAAAGATGTTTGCCGCCAATAGACGTTGGATTGATTTAAAAAGTCGTCGGTGTGTTTGAGATTTGGATTGGATTAGATTCAGAAGTGTTGATTTATATATATATTGTATTAACCGTCTGGTTCAGTGCGACAAAATAAAACGGCACCAAAACGAAGATTGAAGATTCACCTCTAGCTGAATAAATCGCTTCTCAGATATTTATATTTATAAAAAGGACATAGTCTGAGTCAGGCTAAAAGGGACAAAAATTGTATGAAAAAACAAATTAAAATTCTTTCGTAACTAACCCGATATATCGATATCATCTAATCAGCACTGACAGTCAAAACAAAAAATATCTTAGTTGCTATTATTTTACAAAAAACGCTCCTTTTTCAAGGATTGCTGTAGTCTCGCATAAACAAATCTTTCAAACTAAATTTTATATTTTACGTTTCTGAATGATTTGAAATCCAAAAATATATAAAAAATAAACTTTTAGATATGATTCCTATGCCTTAACCCGCGGGATCTCCCGCGTTAATCCCGCGTCCGCGTTCGGCCCAGTTCGTTTGATTACTGAGTCTCAAAAATTCAAAATGGTGTCCAAGCGAAAACCGTAAACTATGAATGCTGTCTGTAAAAGAAGGTCAAGAAAACCGTTTAAACCAGGTAAAATACTMCTTTCATAATATTTACATGAACATGAATGATGTTTTGAGATTCAGGCTCTTGGATATGAGTTTTTTAAGCACTTCTCAAAGAATGTTGGAAATCTACTCGGTTGCTGATCGTATCAGCCTTAAGCTAATTTACAAACTTTCCATTTCAGACTAAAAGAGACTTACTTTTCTTTATTATTATTGCAAATAACGTCTGTCGATCACTTTATCTAAAGCTCATTTCACTTAATATTTCTTAATGGTAGGTAAGGCTGATCTTTTGATGTAAACGATTTAGGCGCGAATGTTGATTTTTCGTGTAAGCTCACTCGATTGTGGCGCGCGAAATATGAGATACGGCCAAGGGCCGGTTGCACGTAAGGTTGATGAACTTATCTACTCGTTAGATTTTGTGTGGATTTTATCTGCTTGATAATGATTTATCAGGTGGGTAGTGCAATTCAGTCTTCGTACAACCGAGCCCAGGACTGCAATATATTCTTGCAGTTGTCGATGTCGAAGCTCTTTCTTCTTGCCTGATTTTTCAATTCTTTTTATTAGSAAAATCATCACCGATATTATGTATTTGTCACTTTGCTGTTGGTATTTCTAAGCTACTTCAATGTGATGTTTTCTAGTTTACTGCAATTCTATTGTTTGTTTGTTTTCGTATTGTATATTTGATATTGAACTATTGAGTCAGCGTTTAGTTTGTTGACCTTCACACAAAGTCATTTTCTTCTCAAGATGTTCAATAAACCTTGCTAGTCTGACATGTCCAGAGACAGTCTTAACTTTATAGACAAAATACAAAATAAAACAAAACAAGAACAAAGGAAGCAAAAACCAAACAACAACAACCACCATTTTTCTGAATTTATTTTCTACAAGAATCTTTCACCCATTCCCTTCCACTCTTACTCTTTTACAACTACTTAAGATATTCTGTATGCCGCTGTTCTCCAGGGGTGAATATTCCCATTCCTAGCATCAGTAGAGTAGTCTGTGTTTTTCGTTTAATTCATAAATTTATTAAGCGGGCTGAGTATTTCCTATTTTTATCACAACTAAACTGAAGAAGCCATTTTTTTGATAATAATTGTATTTTTGTTTTTTAGCACTTGATGTTGATACCTGTGCTCTTTGTCTTGGATCCCAAAGAGATGAAGAAAAATATGGAAAGTTTTTTCAGAGTGAGAAAGAACAACTTGCTGCYCACCAATTCTGTTTGGTAATATCACTATRGAATGGTATTATGGTCTGTATACAGGCTTCCCCACCCCTCCCATCTACAGGACAAAATCACCAATTTTCCTCACAGGGYMAGGGGTGGGAAATGGCTGTGCCCAGGCTAATTGTTTTATGTATTTAATGTTTGCGCTCCTGATATTATGAATCAATATTGATGGTATGTTTGAACTGTAGTTCTTTGCCTCTGGTTTGGCCCAAAATGGCGAGGACGAGGAAGGATTTGATGGCTTTCTGTTTGATGATATTAGAGTCGAGGTTTCAAGGGCAAGTAAATTGGTAAGTATATACAATGTAAAAGGGTTGAAATGATACATAATCGACAAAAAAAGAGGGGGTCTGAATTCTGAAATGTTCATGAATTTGTTTTATATAATGTGCAAGGAAGCTTCTATAGAATACAGGATGCAGGCATTTCAGAAAAGTTACACTGAATACTACATACATATAGTTCATACCAAGACCACAATACTTTATTTTTTTATTTTATTTTTTATTTTATTAGCTTTGCCCTAGAGGATACACAAATTAAAAAAAAACTTAGTTAATACATACACTGGACAACAAACTACATTATACACTAACAACTTAAAGAMTGGGCAGGGATACTGCAACAGCATAAGCCAATTGCCATTAAACTCCATMTAAGCGACATAACAAAATGGCAATAGTCTCGTTCACGGTTTCCTGTGCCATCTTGAAAGTTAGCCGTGCCTTTGCATCGAAGGGAGACGACTGTTGAGCGTGCAATGATAGAAACCTTCTTTCACACCTACAGACTATTTATTCACGCTCAACGGTAACTTGCTTCCATGTAAATGTACGGCTACCTTTCAAGATGGCGCAGGGAACCAAGAAACAGGCATGTCGGAATTATGC